ACACACACACACACACACACACACACACACACACACACACAAAGAAAAACAAGTAGATAAAATGGAAAGCTAGTGGGTTTTTCTTTTATAAAAAAAAGAAGATAAAAAGATAAAGTTGCATTAATATAGAATAGAAAGTGCTAGAGTTAGAGGGTCCAATAAAGATGGAACAGATGTGTTTTAGTCGTTTATTGAAGATGGCTAAGGACTAAGGGCAATAACACATACAACATCCAAGCAAGCGCACCGTTTATCATATTATTACATCTCATGAAATAGAAAGTGTATGGCATAACAGTTCATAATAACGTGATTTTGACTGAATAACACTGAATTCAATAAGCCAGCTGTGTAAAGAAACCTGCGCTACCTGACCATGGCGATACTCACATATTTGGCGACACTGGTGGTGCTCCTCGCTTTTGCTCGCCCACTCAAGGCCGACAAGATCCAAAAATGCATGGATCACGCTAACAGGGGAACATGTTTGAGATTAGCGTTTTAACAAAAATTGTGGTTTACCCGATTATTGCACGGGGGCTGGTGAAATGCTGCATTTTGTGCGGAGCCAGCTGCTCCCTTCACTGGAGAAACTGATAGCCACGCCTCCTTTCACTAGAAACCACTTCTAGAAAATGAATCGTTGGTTTGCTAGGCGTTGCCTGGGAGACTGAAGCTTGTGGTCTTTGGGGGAGCTTAGAGGCTCAGACAGCCCAATATCCCATTGAGCCGCATTCAAATCTCAGGTTGTTTTAATACTATTGGATATATTTTGTAGTATTAAAAGTACAATCATTTAAAACTTTTACTTCATAAGAATTCGAATCTGGTACAAAAATGAATGTCATTGCGAAAGCGTCTTGTAAAATGACTTTTAAATATAACCCTTCCAGTAATCACAAACGACTGTGATTGGTTCGTCCTCTTAGCGCAGAGAAAAGGAAACAGATACCTCGTGATATCGTTGTCTGGCACTTGTGGACACTGAGAAACGTTAATAGTGATTGCTTAAAAAAATAAAGAAATAAATTTAAGATTTAATGCATTACTTATTTATAATTGATGGTTATATTTAAATTAACTATAAATTTCAGGATAGATAGATATTATTATTAATATTACAAACATATTTAACATATATAGTCTTTAAAAACATATTTCAAAATTAGTTTTGCAAGAGTCATTATATTTAGATTTTTGTATTTTTATTTAGCAAAAAAGAGTACATTTTAGAACGGACTTTTATTGTGTGGTATGGCAGAAAATGTTACGCGTCCCTTAAAATTTGCGCAAAAGAGCCCAACATGTGGGTTGCCAAGTTGCAAATGACCATTCAAGTTTAAACGAACAAGATATATTGTTTGACAAAACCATATGGATAATGTTATTTAATTTATTTCAAATTGTAATTGTATTTTATATTATCTGCAGGAACAGCTCCTACAAAATAACAATGGTTAATGATTCGTGTTGTATATCACCAGTGTTGGGGAAAGTTACTTTTAAAAGTAATGCATTACAATATTGCTAATTACTAATTACGTTACTTAGTTACTTTTTATGGAAAGTAATGCGTTACGTTACTTTTGCGTTACTTTTTAAATCTGGACAGGGCTTGCTTGTTTGTTTTTAAAATAAAAAAGTTATATTTTTGGCAAATATAAAAGCCTTTTCACACCAAAAGTGAAATGAATAAGCCTCGGGCTGAAGGGAAAGTCAATTTAATTCCGTACAGTAGAATGCAGAAGAAGAAGTTTCAACACACTTCAGCAATAAAAAAAGACACACAAATGTTCGTCTAGAGTAACTTTAGCTTATTAGTACGGTTGAACTGGATCATCGAAGGTCAGAAGCAAAGACATAGGTTAATAGAATGGGAATAAATACATAAAGGAAATTTGTGTTGTTTAACATTTAATTATTGCAGGTTTACGTCATATTCTGAGTTGCATTATTTTTTATTCATTTTGAGGAATACTGAATCTGTGTGTTTTTTGTGTGTGTGTGAGTTGAATTAATGCATATTCTTATTATTATAGAACTACATTAACATTTTCTGATTTCTCTCAACATGGGGACAGGAGAGCTGTCAATCAATAAATTAGGGGAAAAAAAGTAACTTGCGTTACTCATTTAAAAAAGTAACTCAGATATTCTCTTGTAAATTAAAAAGTAATGCGTTACTTTACTAGTTACTTGAAAAAAAGTAATCTGATTACGTAACTCGCGTTACTTGTAATATATTACCCCCAACACTGTATATCACTGGGGCACAAATACAGAACCACTATGAACAGGTGTTTTTTTTCTTTCTTGTCCATAAACACACATTGTGTATTTAGGTCTTTTCCTGACACCAAAAATTGTTTACACTTTTTAACCATACCCAGGAAAATTATTTTATGCGGACAACCTGGCAACCCACACAGACAAATCACTTTATGCAGACGATGGAGCACTCTGGGTTAGGGGTCGAAATGTAGAATATCTAAGAAAGAAAATGCAAAATGCAATAGAGAAAGTTGAACAATGGACTGAGCGAGTAGAGCATCGCTAATAAACATTTATCAGGCTCTCATGAGAACTGCCTCTGACTATGGTTGCTCGGCGTATATGTCAGCATCGGAATCTAACCTTAAAAAGCTTAATGTGGAGCAGGCACAGGCACTCCGGATATGTACCAGAGCATTTAAAACATCACCAGTAACTGCTTTACAGGTGGAAGCAGGAGAGATGCCGCTACGTATTAGGAGGGTCAAGATCATGTTGGCGTATTGGACTAATTTACAAGGACATAGTATGTTGCACCCCACAAAAACTGTCTTGCAAGAATGCGCAGAGCATAATAAAAGCAATTTTTACAGTTTTGGATGGGTGGGGAATGCTAAGGCTCAAAATGCAGATCTCAATCAGTTGCAAGTAGGACCCACTGTGGCAATATCAATGATGCACCCTGGAAATTTATAAAACCATCTGTAAATATAAGCTTACAACAAATACTAAAAGAAAACTCAAAAATAATGCGACAGTGGATAATAGTTCAAAACTATGTAGAGCAGTATCAAGAGGAATTATTCATATTTACGGATGGATCAAAGCAGCCGGAAACAGGCCGTACTGGTGCAGCATTTTTTATTCCTCGGTATGAAGTAGTAGTCAAAAAGAGGACAACAGACTACCTGTCAGTTTACACTGTGGAGTTAGTAGCAATTTTACTGGCATTAGGGTGGGTGGAAGAAAATAATCAGAACCAAGGTGTCGTTATAGACTCAGACAGTTTATCAGCATTATTAAGCGTTCAATCTGGGAGAGCGTCATGTAGACAAGACCTCATTTATCAAATACTCCACTTGCTTCTCACACTTCATAATAAGGGAATGGCTGGCTCCTTCCTTTGGGTTCCTGCCCACGTAGGGGTGGAAGGAAATGAAGTTGTGGATATGCTAGCAAAAAACTCTACAAAGCATGAAACAGTAGATGTACACGTACCAATAAGTAGAGCAGAGGTCAAAACCATCATAAAGCAACATTCACTTAAAATATGGCAGGAATATTGGAACACAGCGGGAACTTATACAGTATACAAAATCAAGTAGTCACAAGCATGAGGAAGGGCAGAAGCCCAAGGGAGGAGATGTTAGTCTCACGTCTTAGAATGGGTCACACTGGTTTAAATACAGCATTGCACAGAATAGGAAAACATCCCACTGGATTATGCACTTATTGTAATGTACAAGAGACAGTGAAGCATTTACTGTTAGACTGCAAAAAATACGAAGAAGATAGGGCAGAATTAAAGGCACAGATGGATGAACAAAGCATGACACTTGAGCATTTATTAGGGAAAGCATCTGGGAGAATACACAATTTATTAATATTATTTTTGAAAAACACTGGGTTAAGAGAAAGAATTTAATAGGGATTTTTTTTCTCTCTCTCCACCTCTCATTTGATGTCAGTCTAATACCCACACTCCAGTCTAGTAGGTGGCGGTAATGCACCTTTGAGATGAGTTACCAACCACCATTAAACCTGAAAGAAGAAGAAGAACCCACACAGATTCCAGTTCCCTGTTGGTGAGGTAATTTACAAAGAAGGGACGATGGCTGTTTGCATCAGAATAATATGGATGAGAATGACCACCTTGACAGCAGCTATTCATGATGGTTCTGCTTTCCTGAACGCTTTCTTTGCCAAAACACACTAATCTCCCTGTTTCGTCCCATCTGTAAAGGCCAAGTGTTGTATTTGCCTCAGTCTGCTAGCCCCGTGCTATGATTCTATCTACATCAACTCTCTTTAATTGACCTGACCGGTGAGTAACTAAGATGGATATTCGCCGTGTCATAACGCATATACGCTTACAAGCTCTCTGAATGTAAACTAAAGCGAAGTAACCTCATTAGGCAACATATATGTTTAGTTAGCTGGCTTTGCTTGTAGCTTACATTAGCAATTGCTATTGTACTACATTTGCTTCCTTGATTGTTGCTGGTAAAGGTCAATATGGCAAATTGGGTGACGCAAAAAAGCATTATATACATGTATGGATCATATTAAAACTCAAAACAGAACATTCAAAAATTTAGCAAACAAAATTAGTGTCCAAGGACTTGGATGCATGGATTCTTACAGTGCCTAATCTTCATGTCTGAATTGCTGACGTTGCTTGTTTGAATTCTTTGAGGTTTGATGTGTTTCTGTTTTAAATGTATGAATTAATGCACACCCCTTTCCCCTGTATTCTTTGTCTCTATTTAGATATCACTCATAACATGGCCATCACACAGTTTCGCCTTTTTAAAATATGCACCTGCTTGGCATCTATTCTCTCATTCTTGAAAAGACTGATTTGTAGGTGAGTATTAATCTCTTGCTTAATTGCTCACATATTCATCTTGTAGATTGTCAGTCTGAAGCCTGTTGACATAGGAGGATCCAGAGATGAATGCACGTCCCTTACCGATGTGATGCTGTGGTAATGAGTTCCCTCTGCTATGCTGTGTTTTGACTGTTGTTGTTTGTTAATATAGGACTGGAAGGTCACGCAAGCTGAGTGGGGATCAGATCAGCCTCCCGACCACAGTTGATTATTCCTCTGCATCAAAACAGGTTAAAAAATGCATCATGCTGGTGACTGTGTCATGAATATTTACAATTATCTTAAGAAATGGATCATAAGAAAAATACTTTGCATAGAGAAAGTACATTTTTTAGGGCAAATTCATACAATAAATTTTCAAAATAAAAATACATTGTCTCAAAGTTTATCAAAGAATACTGCAAAAAAATGTATCACAGTTTCCACCGAAATAATAAGAAATATATTTTTTATGAGCAACAGACTCATAAAATATGACTGGAGTACTGGCTGCTGAAAATTCAGCTTTGCCATGGAATAAATTAGAGTTTAAATTATATTAAAATATAAAACAGTTAACAATATTTCAAAGTATATATATTTTTTACTGTATTATTGATCAAATAAATACTTTGTGTAGGAAGCGTAGGAGACTTCTTTCAAAAATATTACAAAATTGTCTAGAAAACAATGTCCTGGACTTTATAGTGGCAAAAAAATGGTTGTACAATTTTGATCT